ATCGGCCTGTGCTTGTTGCCGGTGTAGAGAGGAGGAAGAAGAATTTCCAAATATGTTTTTGGAAGTATGAGAGTTTAATCTGAAAAGAAATAGTAGATCATATTGATTGAAATCAGTTTCCCTTTTTCTCTCACCATATCCTGACTCCTAGGTAGTGCCGCATCCTTCCTTTCCTCACCCACCACCACCCCAGGTCCGCAACCAGGCCGACTCCGTGTGTCTCCTCTTGGTCACGGTTCCAATCTATACCGTGATCTTGCATAGTGCTTGGTGAAAATTTTTCGAGTATCGGATTGAAAATCCGTTTGCAAAAACGGAACCTACAGGACGAGAGGATTCCATTTTTGTATAGTTCTAATTTTGGGTTTTGATTAATTGTAAGTTTAGCCATTGCTACTTCGCTTGCAGCGCGCGTGTCGGCTAGATCGTCCGTCTGCTTGTTCGGAACCCCACTTTATCGTGTATCAATTCATCTTTGTGCGTCTTGACTATCTAGCAATTCAGTTGCTTTATATCTTGTTCTTGCTTGTTCTCGATTGCTTGCAGGAATAAGGTTGATATGCATCGGCAAGATCAACAACCCACGGAGAGGTGTATCGATCGCTAAGGCGCAACACAACGTCTCGTACGGTTGTAGTCGGGTCGTCAACGTTTCTCCCAAATCGTAGTTATCATCAACTCACCGAAAGATCGGGCCAACAACAGCCTTGAGTGTCTCGAGTGGAACTCAGGGTTCATCAGGTGCTGCAGGATTGCGTAAGGGAATACAAGAACATCGACTTCTACACCTTCGACGAGATATGACGACTTCTCCACGTGATGCATATGAGGTACATGACTATAATTTTGAACAAGTTGCATCTAAGTTACCATTCTATGATGGGAAGTATGATTCTGTTGCATACATTGATTGGGAGCTAGCAGTAGACAATGAATTTGATATATATGATTTTTCTGATGCTCAAATGATTAAGGCTGCTAGTAATAAGTTTACCTCTTCTGCATTATTTTGGTGGACTTATGTTAGTAATAAACCTGAAACTTGGGATGAATTGAAAACCATGATGAGAAAACGCTTTGTGACTTCTTATTACAAATGTACTCTTCGGGAGAAATTAGAACATCTGAAACAAGGTGATAGAACTGTTAGGGAGTACATTCATGAATTTAAGGTCTGTATTATCTACAGTGGTCTCAAAGAGTGCAATGAAAATACAATGCGTAGATTTTTCAATGGGCTTAATTCTGAAATTCAGGTTTTGCTTGATAATGTGACATATAATCATATTGGGCACCTATTCATGCTTGCTCGTAGCATTGAGAGTCAGATCATATCAAAGGCGAGGATGCATGACCAATGTGATTTATCTCCTATTTCTGAATCCCCAATATACTTATGTAATGATGATGTGCAAACATTGGAGGAGCAATCTTTTGTCTCCCCTGTTACTAACGTTTTGCAGGAAGATCAGCACATCCAAGAAAAGGAGAATGGTATACTTGAGAAGAAAGAGGATGAAGCACCTGCGATGTCTGAAGAAAGTTCGCAAGGTAAATTAAATGGTGCTGAGAGAAATGAAGGTGAGCATTCTCAAGGTGAGCTACACTTGTCCACTTTTCATGCTATAGTAGAGCAACCATTAGTGGAATCAATTGCTGAGTTGCATCAAGGGTTTGTCGTCTGTATTCGGCCGTGCTTGTTTCTCTTGCGCGAGGAAGAGGAGAGAAAGAAAAGATAACAGATCTGTTTTTGGAGGAAGTTTTGCAGACTAGATCAATCAGGTTGGTTAGTTTCCATCTAAGGCCAAACTTTCCAAACTCTCCCCACGCGTGAAGACCGGTTGGCGCCATCTCCTTTTGTCGCCCACTTTAGCTGAGTCCGACTCCCTCCCTCTCACGTCGGTTTCGCCTGTTCCGAGTTGTGTCAAACACCTTGGTGAATTTTTGTTTGGTGTCGGTTTCGAGATCCGTTTGGAAAAACGGAACCAGTATAAATTCAGCATTCCATTTTTGTATAATTTTTAATTTTGGTTTGGACTTTTACAGTTGAGTCCTTGTAATTTTCATATTTACATTTGAGTCCTGGTAATCTTGCATTGAGGTCCTTGAGTTGTTTTTGCGGAAAAAAAATAAAGAAAGTAAGGAAAAGGCAGGAAGGTGCATAAAAAGAAAAAATAAAAGAAAAGCCACACCAAAAAAAAAGGAGAGAAAAAAAAAGAAGAAGAAAGAAGGAAGAAGAAAGAAAGAAAAAAAATCAGTTGTATCTTTAAGCTGAACATGATCTATCAGAGTGTGCCTAAGTTGTTTCTAGTGCTATCCTGTGGTATCGCTTGTGTCTAGGCTCGCGTCTCTAGTACGTTCGAGCCTAGGATCAGCACGGTACTTGACTTTGAACAATTATTCAACTTTGCATTATCTGATTTGAGCATTTGCTATCCCTTTGCTACATATTTAAGCCTACCCAGAGCTCCATAGATCTAATTGCAGCCGTACAGGAAGTGTTTGCCAAGGCATCGATACATCCAAACTCCATTGGGGTGCTTGGTTGAGTCGGTGTATGTCACCATTCCGCTTGCATTGGTAAGATCTTGTAAGAGCTTGGTTAAAAGCTTGAGTGTGTGTGATTTTTGATCTGCCACTACCTAGTAGTTAATAGGAACGCACATATTTTTGTGTATGTTTCTTATTTTCTACTAACAATGGCAGCGATACGCAAGATAATTGGGGAGAACTGTGCTCAACATCGACATCTTCGTCGAGACATGAGGAGTGATCAACACGACCATTATAAGGTAAGTGACAATGTTCTATGTAATATCAAATCTGCACTACCTTATTTCGAGGGAAATTATGATCCTCATGCTTACATTAATTGGGAGCTAGCGGTTGATAGAGAATTTATAAAGCATGTCTTGTCTGAGAAACAAAAGGTTATGTGTGCCTCTAGTGTTTTAATTAAACATGCTTCTAATGATTGGAAACATCTTTGTAGGCATAACAAAATACCACAATCTTGGAAAGACCTGAAACGATATTTCAGAGATGTTTATGTTCCCATGTATTATGCTGACATTTTGTTCAACAAACTGCAATGTTTAAAACAAGATACAAGAACTATTACTTCATACTATCATGATATGCAAGCTTGTTTATTACGTTGTGGTTTAGATGAATGCGAAGAAGCTAAAGAATTGAGGTTTTTACGTGGGCTAAACAAAGAAATTCAGGACATGCTTGATTGTCAAAGATATACATCTCTTTCTCATTTGTTACAACTTGCTTGCAATGCTGAAAGTAAAATAGAGGAGAGAGACATGAAAGAGCCGCCAATCCCATTGTTCACACTCAAAGTCGAGGCACCTCCATCATCTGAAGAGGACATCAAAGGTAAACTAAATGGTACTGAAATTAATCATGGTGAGTGCATTGTTAATGAAGTAAATTTGTCCACTTTTCATACTAAAGTAGAGCAACCGTTAGTGGAATCAAATGCTGGAATTCCTTTGTCACAAGTTGATTTACTCGTTGTTCCTTGTGATAAAGAAGAGTTGTGTGATAATGCTTCACTTATATCCATGCCACAACTAGTGAATGAACATGCTATTTTTAGTGTTTCTTTGTGTGCTGATTTTAAGCATGCTGTTCACATTGCTAAAGAAGTTGAGGAACGTAAATTGCTATCTTCTTTAAATACTTTGGGCCATGTTCAGTTTGATGATTTTTGTGAGCTCGATAATTTGAAGGAGAAATTATTTGCTAAGTCTGATTTGCCATGTCCAACTAATGCTATTTTTCATATCTTTGGCAAATATAATGATAGAGGAATATATTTGGTGCATAGAGTTTTCATTTGTTCGGATTTAGAGAAACATGTTATTGCTAATCACACTACTTCGAGTTTCTCTAGTTTTGATTGGATGAAACAGGTTATTTTGAATGGACTATGTTAAGAACACCATATGGAAAAACCGAGGACGGTTTTCCGTGAAGAATGGGAGGATGATGTGACCATGACTACTACGGATACATCCGTTGCTCACATCATGGATGAACAACAAGATATCAAGTTCGAGTCCTCCAAGTGCCGGAATCCGATTCGGCCACCTGCTACACTGCTAACTTCAAACGGCCGCCGAATCTGCATACGACCTCCATTTTCGGCCCGTGAGTACTTGATGGAAAGCTCTCGGAGCCCTCTTTCCAACGGATCCAGCCTCATCTCCGAATTTCATCTCGTGTGGCCGGAATCACACGCACAAGGTGCTGCGTCACCTATAATAGGCCTATGGGCTTGTAACATCATTTGGGATCCCGGCCCAGGTGGAGCCCATATGGGATGCGCCCCAGCAAGGTGGAGCACGACCCTAGGCACCCCTAGGTCATCCTCCCACCCCTATTTATATAGCTAGGTACCTCTTCAGGGTTTCTTGGGTTTTGATTAATTGTAAGTTTAACTATTGCTACTTCGCTTGCAGCGTGCGTGTCGGCTAGACCGTCCGTCTGCTTGTTCGGAACCCCACTTTATCGTGTATCAATTCATCTTTGTGCGTCTTGACTATCTAGCAATTCAGTTGCTTTATATCTTGTTCTTGCTTGTTCTCGATTGCTTGCAGGAATAAGGTTGATATGCACCGGCAAGATCAACAACCCACGGAGAGCTGTATCGATCGCTAAGGCGCAACACAACGTCTCGTACGGTTGTATTCGGGTCGTCAACGTTTCTCTCAAATCATAGTTATCATCAACTCACCGAAAGATCGGGCCAACAACAGCCTTAAGTGTCTCGAGTGGAACTCAGGGTTCATCACCTCCTGCGGGACCCTCAAACCAGGTTTAATTAATCTTTGGATTTACTTACCGTTAATTACACCGCGTAACCCTGGTTAGTTATCTTTGGATTACTTAATAATTAATAACGTTAATTATTCCGCGTGCGCCTGCGCGCCGCTGTCCAGACACCCCAGCTAACCCCCTATATAAACTCCCCTATCCACCTCTCCACCCACCTCATTCAATTCACTCCCCCCTCCAGCTTCTCACTCCCCACACGCAGCTTCCAGCTCATCACCCCCCACAACCACCTCCTCCCCCTCCCATGGCGGCGGCGGCGCCGGACAAGGCGGTGGAGCGGCTGTCCCAGAAGCTGGTGCACCCGTCGTCCCCCACGCCGTCGGCCCCGCTCCGCCTCTCCTGGCTCGACCGCTACCCCACCCAGATGGCGCTCATCGAGTCGCTCCACGTCTTCAAGCCCGACCCGGCGAGGGACGCCGCGGGGCAGGGGCTCGCCCCCGCGCGCGCCATCGAGACGGCCCTCGCGAGAGCCCTCGTCGAGTACTACCCGCTCGCCGGGAGGCTCGCCGTCTCCCGGGACTCCGGCGAGCTCCAGGTGGATTGCTGCGGCGGCGCCGGCGGCCATGGCGGGGTGTGGTTCATCGAGGCGGCTGTCCCGTGCCGGCTCGAGGACGTGGATTACCTCGAGTACCCTCTCGCCATCTCCAAGGACGAGCTGCTCCCCCACCCGCGCCCCCGCCCCACCCGCGACGAGGAAGACAAGCTCATCCTGCTCGTCCAGGTACGCCTCCGCCTCCGCCGCCGCCGCCGCATTTGGGATCGATTCAGGTGTTTGTGCTGCCATGAGCTCACCGGCGGCGAGTGGTAATGCAGGTGACGACGTTCGCGTGCGGCGGGTTCGTGGTGGGGTTCAGGTTCAGCCACGCGGTGGCGGACGGCCCGGGGGCGGCGCAGTTCATGGGCGCGGTCGGCGAGCTCGCCCGCGGCGGCGAGCGCATCACGGTGGCCCCGTCGTGGGGGCGCGACGCGGTGCCCGACCCGGCCGGCGCCATGGTCGGCGCCCTCCCGGAGCCGGCCGGCGCGTCCCGCCTCGAGTACCTCGCCATCGACATCTCCGCCGACTACATCAACCACTTCAAGTCCCAGTTCGCGGCGGCCACCGGCGGCGCCCGCTGCTCCGCCTTCGAGGTGCTCATCGCCAAGGCATGGCAGAGCCGCACCCGCGCCGCCGCGTTCGACCCCTCGACGCCGATCAACCTCTCCTTCGCCATGAACGCCCGGCCGCTCCTCCTCCCGCGCGGCGGCGCCGGGTTCTACGGCAACTGCTACTACATCATGCGGGTGGCCTCCACCGCCGGGAGGGTGGCGACGGCGAGCGTCACCGACGTGGTGAGGATGATCCGGGAGGGGAAGAAGCGGCTCCCGTCGGAGTTCGCGCGGTGGGCCGCCGGAGAGATGGCCGGAGTCGACCCGTACCAGATCACCTCCGACTACCGGACGCTGCTGGTCTCCGACTGGACGCGGCTGGGCTTCGCCGAGGTGGACTACGGGTGGGGCCCACCGGGCCACGTCGTGCCGCTCACGAACCTGGACTACATCGCCACGTGTATCCTCGTCAAGCCCTGGGCCCACAAACCAGGGGCACGGCTCATCACCCAGTGCGTCACACCCGACCGCGTCACCGCCTTCCACGACGCCATGGTGGACATCAACTAATTTATTATTATAATTATAATTATTATTATTATTATTATTCCCTTTTCTTTTTATTTTATTTTTTTTACCACGCCACCTTTTTCACTTTGTTTTTTTACCACTACTTCCTTATAATTAATTAATTAATTAATTAGATATTAATAATGAAGAATTAAGGGTAAAAAAAGGAGAGGATAAAGAAAGGTGAAAAGTACATATTGATATTGAGGGTACAGGTAGATGGTAGTAGTTGTTGGCATTATTAGTGGGATTGGTATTGGATTCCTTTGGTGTTGTTTGGTCAAGTGTATACTGGAGAACAGCTACTACATGCTGGGTATTCCTTTTATTTTTTTTTCTTTTTTTTGGGATCAAAAGCTGGAATTGGTGGGAAGCCACCAACTAACCAGTATGTCCCCCTTGATAAGTGTACCATATATTGTATTCAATTTTTATCTTATTTTCAGAATGGTATATATAAGCTGGCAAGGTGTACAGCCTCTTTAGTTGTACTTGGATCAATTCTAACTGGTGGTTGTGTTCATCCATGTTAAATAAATACTCCCTCCGTTTTGAAATATTTGACGCCGTTGACTTTTTAAGCACATGTTTGACCGTTCGTCTTATTCAAAAAATTTAAGTAATTATTAATTTTTTTCCTATCATTTGATTCATTGTTAAATATATTTTTATGTAGGCATATAACTTTACATATTTCACGAAAGTTTTTTAATAAGACGAACGGTCAAATATATGCTAAAAAGTCAACAGTGTCAAACATTTCGAAACGGAGGGAGTACTAATTTTTACATGCTTGCTCTTTGAGTATTTTATTTATTTTAAAATTTTACCTACAGAGTAGTTCTCATCTTATTTTAGTTTGGTTTTTTATTGAACGGAGGGAATATGTCACATATAAACATAAAAATTACTGGTGTCTGTATCATGCAAATAATTAATATAGTGGAATGTTCCAATCTAGTGATGTCGACTCATTTCCAGTTCTCCTTTTTACTGTGATTGGAAATATTGTAGTTGTTCAATTCACCCCTAAATTATTACTAACCCAGAGTTTGGCAACTATTGTACTGAAAATGATAGTATGGTACGGAATATCATCATATTATAGGTTGACTAGCTACTCCATATCTGATTTGTAATGCAGTGAAAAGGAAGTACTGGATCGAAAGTTTTACTTGTTTTTGATAATACGAGACTAGGGTTAACTCCGGGTTTGTTTTTGTCATCATATAATATTTACTTGTTTTTGTCAACGTTGACAAATAATACCGGGTTAGTTTGGTTTTCCTACATGCCAAAATATTGGTAATTATCAAATTTACTGTGTAACATATGTGTCTTGTTGGTAAGTTTTTACAAACTAAACAGTACCAAATACCCACTTACAATTTTAGTATTTTCGTAAGGTAAACATTGTCTTCAAAGTTCAAACCAAATCTGCCTGAATTTTTTATACAACTATACAGGAGTATTACATAACAAGCAATCCTCCAAATGCACCTACCTACCACACCCCAAAAGTATCTCAAAAATTTTGACGAACAAAACTAGAGTAAATTTCACAAGCTATAAATAACTTAACCAAATTACTGTAAAATTACTTATTTAATTAAGTCGTATTATAAAACTATAAATTTGACATAAAATTTATCACGAAACTAGAGATTTAAGATAGTATATCATAAAAATACAGATTTAATAAATAAAAATTATATAAAATATATATATTTAACACCAATTTAATTACACAATTATAACATTTATAGCTCTAACATATAGCAGCACTGCTAGGGATTTAAGCTCTAAAATATACAATTTTGTGCTACTTAGGTTTTAATATGTAGCTTTTTAAGAAATTTAGTGGTAAATCTATAGTTTTGTGATATAACGTCTGAATCTGTTAAATCTGTATTTTTTGATAGTTTTTGTTAAAAATACCTATAGTTTTGTTAAATTTACTTAAGAAAAGAATTACTTACTTAGGAATGTGTGCATGTTGATATGCATCTATCCAAAAAACTTAAGCTTATAGATCATATTTGTCTAATCTCTATGCAGTTTTACTACTGTTTTGTTAAAACAAATGTAATTTTTGTGAAATTTATTTTTTATTAAAAATACTATTACTGTTGACCCATTTATCAAAATAACTTGAGCTTAAAAGATCAGATTTGTGCAATCACCACTTAAACACACCCTCTGCTTTGGTTGCAATGAATTGCTTAAGAGATTGTTTTGGGGGTACAAATGAGCACCCATCAAGCAATTATTTTCAGTTGAATTATCAAGCATGATAGCAGCCACACTAGATACCGTTGCCGCTGTCCTAGCTAATATAATTAACCTTTTTCTGGAGCAAATTGCAATCGAGCTAGCTGGCACGTATGGTCTGCAGCGCAGAGGTGGTCATTGCCAATGTCAATTTTTCTCTTTGGAAAATTGTGCAATAATCTTTTGAAAATTGTGTAATAATAATATGTCCTCTTGCCACGAACTCATTTGACCTCTTCTTGATCGTTTACTCCGTGACGTCCCAGTCCACTCGCTAGCTAGAGAGCTGACCTAACTGTTTGGTTTCATGTGGTTTTTCGATTATAGTTAGTTCCTTGTCAGTGACATGTAGCAGGGAGAAGTGAGATATATAGCTCTGGTAATAGGGCCAGTTAGGCAGGTGGCTGAAAAAAAATCTCTGTTCTAAACGAGCCACAATGAATTTGGAGGAAATTTAGGTGGTCCATGCCCTAGTTTGGTGTCGTGACACGAGAGACAGCGATAGAATAGAGTAGCCAAGCTGAACTGTGTTGTCGGTTTTATATAACGACGAGGACTAGTGCCATGGAAAAGAATGGGCCTAAGATAGAGTTGTCCGTGGTTGGTATTATTGCGAAAAAATTCTCGTGTTCTAAATGGAGCATGATGAGGGGTCATATCAAGCAAGACAAATTGAGAGAAATGAAAGACATGTGTGCCAACCATATGTTTGGGTTTTTCACAGCTAAGGCCCCATTCGAACTAGCTTCTTAGACTCTCAGTCGATCAGCCGCCTATCTTATCACAGAAGCCCTATAATTAGCACACAATTAGTGTAAATGGAAATATATATTTACTTGAATTTTCAAACAAACTTATTTCTAGGTTTTTTTAAAAAAAAATAGTAACTTTTAGCCGTTTGAAAAACATGTTTATGATAATCCAATAGCTATAATAGAAATGAATGGGGTCTTAAGTCTTTAACAATAAAAAATGGGTTTGGTGGCCATGGAGGGAGAGAATGAAGTAGCAAAGCAGCAAAGGTTGCCAGAGATCTCAATTGTTAGAAACAAAAAGACGTCTGATCACTTAGCTTCTAGCTAATAGGGAAGAATGCGTTTGTTGATGGTGCGAGGGCAACAACCAAGCACCATGAATCCATATGATGATGCTTCTTCGCTAATGTCATTCTTAATTAATAGTATAAAAGTATAACTAAATTGTCCATTATTATTTTTGCGCGAGATTGATTTTAGATTGAACTTAATTGTTGCGTGGAGCTTAATATGGTATTAAGACAAAGATGACACGAGTCAAATCCTAGCTCATGATCGAAGTTAAACGATCGAAGTTCTCTTCTACAACGTCAAGACCTGAATATTTCCACGTTTGGGAACCAAAGAAGTCTCATAAAGGGAAGTGTCGAAGTTTAAGTAAATTGTTTATCCTTTCTCCGTGGTTATAGAAATCTAACAGTATATGCGGCTTAAGTGCCTAAAATAATCTATAATCTCAATGCAGTCATGTCACCTTGATGTTATTGGTAGAGTTCAATAAACACTTCCATTTTTTTAAAAAAAAATTGCAACTCAATAGTGACTTTTCCAGATTTAGTTAAATGTGATCATTTGATGAAGCTCAGTTTAGAATCGTAGAAAGTTCGTAGATATTTTATTTAATTTAAATCTTGTTTCTAACGTAGGATTATATTATCACAGGAGTTTTTCGTAATTTCACTGGAGACTGCTAAAGTGCTACCTTAGGAAACTTTTAATTGATTAAAAGCATTTCAAAGGGAGCGTACATGAAACAACTTGTATTCGGACAAGCAACCTAATTTTAAAGTAAAAAGTTGTCCTATCTATATATATACATTTTGACTTTGTCATTCACATTCTCTGTTTGTTACTTTTTGCAAGGAATCAACCCTAGCATTCTAGTAAAAAACAAAAAAGTGTCGGCCAGTTATCACATTAACCAGGGGTATTAATTCTGGGAGCAGTGTGTACAATTGTGATTGCAAAAACCCTTGTTACTGTCTATCACTCGCTATAGCTAGCTTTATGTCTCGTTCTCCACGTCGCAATTAGAAATTTAGGTTACACGTACTAATCTTCTAGACTAGGCAAGTACTAATCAATTACTAGTAAACTCTGATTAGTGTCCGAAGGACGAACTTCCTGATTATTGTTGGTCGATCGGTACTTCAGTCTGCTGTCTAGCTACCAAGTCAGAAAACATATGATAATTCTTGATAGGTCAATTTCTCAGTTTGCACCTAAAATTAGCAGTTTCATAACAACAACCTTTTGCACCTAAACATGAACTCATGATCTTAAATTCTATATTTCCAAATATATCGCAGTATTTTTAACTTTTGTCTACATGAAACCAGGGTTTGAAATTTCAGTTTTGCTATGCCTATCGGAGGCACCAATAAGACCAAAATTTCAAAAATTGTGGAAATTTTGGTCTGAAGCTAAGTAATTTGATTTTTCAAACAAAATTTGGTCATATTTGAATAAATTTTGCTAAATTCATAAACAAATGAAAATTTCAAAAAAAAAAATTGGGTGAAATAATTTCGAGGGTTGGAGGCCTTCAATAAGACCCAAAATTTTCAACCCTGCATGAAATACGCACACTTACAGTACTACTGCATATTTAATTACCTCCTTAATACACGGATGGGACGGCAGGTGAGATAAGTTCGTGAAACTCGTAAGACCACAAAATTTGTAGCTTATTAATGTTCGGCACTCCACTTTCCCATCTTTCCCTCTTATTTTTCACACACATGGTTTCTAAACTACTGAGTGGTGTATTTTTTATATTAAAATATCTACATAAAAGTTGATTTAAAAAATCATATTAATCTATTTTTTAAAACATTTTTTAACTAATTATTAATCATATGCTAATGAGCTATCTCGTTTTTCGTGCGAGAAAGAATAGTTTCCAAATTCTTCTCCCGAACACATTCTAACTATAGTTGGTAAAGTTATACACCCAACTAAAGCTCCACTGTCTACTGAATTACAGTGTTTTCCTAAATTGCGAACTACATCCAAGTTATATGTAGAGGCCAGCTGGTTTAATTTAGATCCATTATAGATAGAAAAACAGGTAGGTTCATGCATGTTAGAGTGAAAGAAAACCTTATAGAAAGTATAATCGCACTGCTTCATGCATGTGAAATTTCTTGCAAATTAATAGGGTTTGAAACAACTTGTGCCGTCAACATTTGCAAT